ACTTTCTCCCCTCCCCTCCCAAATCGCGATCCGTTTCCCCAGGAAGCTACCCTGGATCAGCTTATGACTGGCAGCGGTACATGTGTGTCGTTGATGTGCCCCCTAGAACAGGGTTATGCAATAAGATGGAGTGACTCCGGATCTCGGAGATGGGGAGGAATGCTTTTATACTCCAGTGGTCAGAGATCACTAAGATCGCAAAACTTTAATGGAGTAGGGTGTCCAAAGGTTGAACCAGGGACCAGAGATGTTGCATCAAAGTGACGCAGCTGTTCCTTATGTAATTTCTAACAAAAAGCTATAATTTGCAGACATTTCGAAACTTCTACCACTCACCCTCTCTTTTGTTGCTTCTGTGTATGGCTGGTTCATTTTCGCAGCCAGAATCGAGACAACCGAAATGGAATATTTGTCTACGCTCAGCGTTTCAAGTACATTATCCAGATGCGCCACATTGCGCTCCAGCAAATCGTGCATAGATTTTCGATGAATATCGGCCAATTCACGCCATAATTCTAAAATTTCGCCTCAAATTTTATCTCCCTGTCCACCAAGAAGCTGTTTAAAACGAAGAAGCGAAGAGATAAGAGGGACTAAAAGCCTTATCCATTACTGAGGCCACCTAAAACTACTGGAAAAAAAAACAGACAAGAGACCAAAAATGCTTAAAAATTTAAAAATGCACTTACGTGAGGCCGTATGTGACATGACCAGTTTCACAAATCCATCCAGCGAATTCATTGTTCTTTCACAGATACCAACTTGAATTACCCAAAAATCTAAAAATGTATATATGATTAAAATACATTCATAAATTTACCGCTGCTCCAGCACCAAGCGCTTCTCTTAAACTTCTATTCACCGCACTTTGTCTTCCCCTAGCCCTGTGTTTTCGCCTTCATCCAGATTTACTTATCCACTATTCTCAAAAAACTTATAATTTAGAGAAAATCCATTTTTCGTGAAGTTTCGGAAAAAGCCCCAAAAAGCACATATATTCAATGATTTAAAAAACTTCGTCTGCACCCAAACTTACTTTTCCACCATCCCCAAAAAAGTTAAAATTCAGAGAAAATCCATTTTTTGTGAAATTTCGAAAAAACCCAAAAAAAGCACATGTACTCAATGATTTAAAAAACACAACTCACCCCCTCCGCTCTCTCCCATCCACCCATTTCGCACAATTCACATTCTCAAAATAACGAACCTCAATGATTGTCCTTTTTATCAGTAGATATCAAGCGCCACTGGCCGGAACGTTGATGTTATCCACTTCTGAAGAAACACTGAAAAGATGCAGAAACCACCAGTAAACATGGCGCACGAGCAGAATTATGCACCGGCTCTGCCGTTTGTGTTTATAGTTCAGAGATGAAACACAGAGAGGACAACAGCTAATGCACATACAGGCTCGCTTATCTGGGTATCTGAATTGGCACTTCCTGCTTTCCCACAACTGTCAATATTCGACTGTGTCCCTTTCATCGGCGGGCCTATAGTGCCAAACAAACTTTCATAGTTTGTATCTTAAAAATTTTCGAAACAATTAGAGTGGAATTTCCAAGCGAGTTTTAGAGGTTCCCTCTAATTTTGACTAAGTTTCCCTCAAAATCCGTCAAAATTTGGATAACCTATTTTAATTTTATTCCAAAGATCATCAGAAAACACTCCCACCATCCTGTAATACCTCAAAATCAGTCATTCACTGCACCATCGTAGTACATCTACTATAGTTTTCAGTCTATCTATAATTACTGTGATGAGATTCGCACTACATCCCTAAATAAACTGCAAATGAACTAATTCCTCTGCAAAATGAAGAGAAAAAATCGTGAAGTTTTCTCACGAACAAAAATCACGATATTTTTGAAAAAATGAAAATAGCGATACTCGAGGAAAAAAAAAAACAAAAGTCGCGATATTTTTCGGCAGTGAACCGGATAAAAAAAGCATATCAAAACAAGAGCAATCATAAATTTTACTATGATTTTTTACATACAATCCCTAATAACATTAGAATTTTTCTCAGCTGGCTTCCAATCACTTTCTCATATGTTCCGGAACAGGTCTGCATCGATAATCCTTGAAAAGCTCTTTCAATTCCTCGAAATGTTCCGGTGTATTTGTGCTACCCCAACCGATTGTGAAACGGGTAATCGGCAGGCGAACATCCCGATGCACTTCCGGGAAATATTGCGCGTAATGGTCCCGATGAAAATGCTCGATTGGTGGCATATTCTCGTATTTCGCTTTTACCTGTAAAATAGTGTAAATTGAGTTTTTAAATTTCTCCAAAATAATAATCAATTTTATATAATTAATTCCTTTAAGATCAATGGAGAGACAAATACCGGGCTTTGCTCAACATCTTCGAGTTCGTTTGCGTTACCGCGCTAAATACCCATAATGAGCATTTATCTCTGTGTCCAGGTATGGGAATACTA